AAAATTATTACAGTTCAATTTAAAGAATTGTTTTTTAAAGGCTTGCCAATTAGATATGTCCGTAAAGATTGAAAACTTAGCAGCTTATTCTGGAGGTAGAAACATCACCGTAAGCATTATATTAGTAGTTATTTTCTTTCTTTCTTTTGTTTTCCTATAAATAATAATAAGATTCCACGTCGATTGAAAGGATATTTTTTTAGAGAAGAATGTTGATTGATTTATCATTTAAGGAATGGGAATTGAAGGATGCCGTTGAAATTGGAAAAAGCGGACAAACGGTATTGGAATGCTCGTGCTCTGGGATTTTCAAATGTTTTATCTCATAATTGTTTATTTTCCTATTGTGGTGTCTGAAGAGAATCCCTCGAGCGAGGCCTTTTACTCACGGTATTGAAAAGCGAAAGGTCACACCGTTTGTTCGAAACCCGTGTGAGAATATTGAAAGATTTCGGATCAAACGTGAGAAAAATATTGTCAAAGTCACAGCCTTGGTCGCACCGGGCCGGCGAAGACAGGCTGGACGTGCTTCGGTGCCGTTTTAATTACAGGTGGAATCTGCGACACGCGCGTATGCACACCAGACGACGTGAAGTTTTGGACAAATTGCAGAAATTGTGAGCAGGTGCAAAGGATAGGAATTCCTTCGTGGCGTTTTTGACGATCGTGACCGGACAAACGTGAAACCGCGCTGGATGCCGACGACTTGACCTGTTGTCGGCAGTAGTTCAAAACGGCCCATTTGTGTTGTCCTCTTATTCTCGCTGATAACCGGGAATAGGATGCTTCAACGATCGAAACCATCTGGAATTTATTTTTTAAACTATTTTATATCATATTTATTATAGGGTTTCATACCATGTCATCGGGTCATATACCCGGGTTTCCGGTGTGTGTTAAAAAAATTATATTTTTATGTGTGGTGTTTCGTGACCGGCACTCTCAACACGACACTCAAGAAAGACACAATTACGCAGAAAACAAACACTTTGAGCCCTGAAGATGATCTCAATAAAGATCGAAACGTTGGCACGATAAAGAAAATGTTTTTTCTAAAACCTACGCCACACCAGCCCACATCTCACGATCTCTGAATTTATATTTTTACTTGTCTATGTCTTCAATTATGTCTGATTTAGTAAAACATTATGTTGCTTCCAACACTAGAAATATTTATTTAGTATCGGGTAAGAAATGAACATGCTGGCTTGTTCCATCGATTTCAAATAGAAAAAGGGCCTATATCGCTAGTTTCAACCCTAAATCGTAAAAACGAAGAACGGGTTAATTCCAAAAGTACAGTGATTTCTGTCATACTTAAGTAATTATTTTTCATACAGGGTTTTTCCATTTTTATACAGGATCTTTGGAAAAGAAACGTGTCCCAGAAGGCATTCGAGATACTCCGATGCTCTTCACTTTTTGCGGCTTCAGATTTTATATCAAGAGCTCTTGACCATAAAAATAGAGTCATAGGGTTGTTCTTAGATATATCAAAAGCGAAGATCATGTAATTATTGCTTGAAAAACTTTTCAATATTGTTTTCAAAGGATCAGTTTATAATTTCATTAAATCTTATTTGTCGATTCGGTCTCAAAAAACGAAAATAAACCGAACTTTTAGTAATCCCACTTATATTAATTGTGGCGTTCTACAGGTTAGTGTTTTACGGCCTCTACTATTTTTAACTGACAATAACGACTTACTTGAACTAAAACATTCCGGTAAAATATTTCGATTCGCTGATGGTAAAATTATACTTTTTCTTGTAAGAATTATGATGATATAATTAAAAATATCAATAATGTGTGGTGATTAGTGACCGTTAATCGATATTTATTTAGAAATCGTGAGATGCGGTCTGGTGTACATTTTCTTTATCGTGCCAACGTTTCGATCTTTATTGAGATCATCTTCAGGGCCTGGGATTTACAAACATTGTTTACACATAACAATTACATTTTAGATGTGGAAAAGTGAATTTATACAATGCAAAATATATTTTTTATATATTCAATCAAAGGCCCTGAAGATGATCTCAATAAAGATCGTAACGTTGGCACGATAAAGAAAATGTTTTTCTGAAGCTTACATCACACCAGACCGCATCTCACGATTTCTAAATAAATATCAATAATGAAATCATAAAAATGAAAGAACGGTTATATAGTAAAATACACTTTTAAAAAATCATTATTAGACTCTCAAATCAAAACAACTTAAATGAAAATTATATTTGAGTGTAAATTCATTTAACTGTAATTGCCTCCCTTTTCCAAACAAGTTAAATATTTGGGAATAATTTCTGTTAATAAATTTAACTTTAAGTGTAAAGTAGATGCTTTGGTAAAAAAGTTTAGAAAATGAAATAAATTGAAAATTTGAAGAAATGTGTGGTGATTAGTGACCGTTAGTCTATGATTATTCAGAAATCGTGAGATGCGGTCTGGTGTGATGTAGGTTTCAGAAAAAAAATTATTTATCGTGCCAACGTTTCGATCTTTATTGAGATCATCTTCAGTTGGTAATAATTTTAAGAAATATTTTTTAGCCATATTTAATGAGATCTGTTTACTTTGCGTAAGCACATGCCTTTATAACAACTTAGTTTGGGGTGGTACACGAAATTTACAATATCTCAAATAATTATTGTTCAAAATACTATAATAAAAATATTGCTAAATAAACATAGAAGGTAAAACACAAACCAATTCTACGTTGATGTGCTAAACGTGCTAAAACACAGACAATTATTTTTGATGTGTTCATGTCTTCGTATTTAAAAGCATAAACTTTTACAGATTATGGACTTCAATTACACTACAAGAACAAATGCGTCAAAGAAATTTATTATTCCTTAAGGCAACACTCCCATGCATTATAACAATGCATGTAATGCAAGGTTAAGATTCATATATAAAAAAAAAATTTATATAAATTCCTTCTTATGATGAATTTAATTGAAAAAATAACACCAATAATTAAAGAAGAGAATTTTTTAAAAGTAATGTACTAATAAAATAATTATTTAAAAAATTATGTAAAATATCACTATCAAATAAATTGAATGTATACTGTAATGGCGAATTTGTATAAATCTGTTTTTGATTATTTTTGTAATGTATAAAACTATTTGTGAGCTCGAAATTCTTTCTCTCAAGCACAAGGTAAACTTATTGAGAGCATGCTGTTCATTTTTCATTATTTTGTTCTATATTATCATTTAATTTTTTCCCTCAGAATAATGTATTCAATGTACAAGAAATAAATTCATTTTTGCCTCTTTGACTTGAGTTAAACTGCCGTGGCTTCCATCGTCCATGCCACAGAATTCGCATTTCGATTTCCGTTTATTCTAATTTGTAAGCGGCATCATATAGAAACAAATTTTAATATCGATTCCATTTTTTATTTCGAAAAAACATATATAAAAAATTGAATATTTACTTTTAAAAAAGGATTACTTAAATGTGGAAGGAATTCAAGTAGGCCAATGTAAACGCCCTAAAGATTCTACTCCAATAATGATTTTCTTTTGTTTTTAGGCGAAAAATATCGAAGGTTATCATTGCCTTTTTACTACCAGTGGTTTATTGGAATTTATGGATATTTATATAAGGTTATAGAGATTTCCCATTTTTAGGCTTTCGAAGACCTGATCATTTTTTTCTGTTCATTCTCGTAGACTAGGGGTTTTAGGGATGAGCCCATATCAGACTAAAAGGAGGGGGCGCAAGTACGTGTAATACATTTAATTTATCACCATGTGGTCATATTTGTGTGCCCTATTCGTAATCGACATAGTACGACCTCATCACGCCTGGAAATTTGGAAGGAAGGTTTCCAAGGTTTAACAGTCTCTTTTATGTTTCTTAATTTGTCGGATTTGGTTTGTTTCCACTGATTTTCACCATTTTCCATTAATATGTGTTTCGCAGACTTTACATCATCAGGATTGATTAAAACTGAGATGATGGGGTTGTTCTGTGCAGCTTTTGCTGCGTTGACAGCTAGCTCATTTCTCCTGATTAAGGGAAATGATCTAGCTGAGCAAACGCTGCACAGAACAACCCTATCATCTTAGTTTTAATAAATCCTGATGATGTAAAGTCTGCGTACAAACTTATATTCATTGAAAATTGGGAAAATCAGTATAATGAAATGAAGGGTCGGTTTTACATTGAAGCAGTATAGGCGACAAATGTGAATAAGTAAACGGAAAATATTGTTTGCATTTCCAGCGAAACTTTGAAATGTAATGTTTGGTGGTTGTTTGAAAAGTGTGGTGATTAGTGACCGTTAATCGATATTTATTTAGAAATAGTGAGATGCGGTCTGGTGTGATGTAGGTTTCAGAAAAACATTTTCTTTAACGTGCCAACGTTTCGATCTTTATTGAGATCATCTTTGATCATCTGAGATCATCGTCGGCACTCTCAACACGACACGCAAGAATGGCACAATTACACAGAACACTTTGAGCCCTGAAGATGATCTCAATAAAGATCGAAACGTTGGCACGATAAAGAAAATGTTTTTCTGAAACCTACATCACACCAGACCGCATCTCACGATTTCTAAATAAATGTTGTTTGAAAAAATCATTTCTTCAAATAAAATATGATTGGTTGTTTTTTTCGATTGATTTATGATCGAACTTGAAAGGTCGATAGAGGTTGAGTACGAAGAGTCGGGGGCGATACCTTCTTAAAGATGGAACAAAAAGGGCGAAGTGAGAGGGTGTGTATGTTCTGTGGGGACTAAGTACGGAGCCGGGTTGATGGGTAGGGCCGGTGCTGGCGTGGGCCTCGAACTCAGCCGGGAGTGGAAGGCGATCTCGCGATCTGCGTAAGTTTGTTGGAAATTTCTTCTAAAACGAGTCTCCGGCGCAGAGAGTCGGTGGGCGTGGATGGTAGAAGGGGTTGGTATGAACGGGGTAACGCCCTCGCCCCGTCGGTAGTAGGGGTGGATGGCGGTTGGTGCTGTTCTCTCGTGCCATCTGCTGCTACTAACTACGTCACTGCAAGGCCAAACCTTCGGCATCCAGCACATCCATTAGAACAGTCGTCCCGAGAGCCTCGTTGAAGCCGCTCCTCACCCCCTCCGATTTTCGACATTCTACATCAACAATTAGGGTAATTGTAATTAGGGACAATTGTCCTTCGTAATAAGGGTGATTAGGATCGAATAGCCTTTCACGGGGGGTGAGTGCGCTTTGTGATATCGTGTACGGCACCTGTTGTGTTTTTATTTTTGACGTTGTGTGTTTCGGAAATGATAACATAGTGTTCGGCGCAAGTGAGTGTTTATTGTGAACCTTTGGAAAAGGCTTGGGAGAGGGACTGATGCGCCCGAGTCGGATGTACGGCTAGAGCACAGAAGGAGACCGTCCACCAGTGATAACGTCCCCGATTTCTGTGGTACAAGTCAACCGAGTAGTCACCACGCTGAATTACACGGACTTGGGCAGCCCCTTCGGGGAAGGGGCGTCGGGCGGTTCCAACACGCCGACACCGACGACGGATATGGACCACCACCACATGGCCGGTATGAACCACCAGGAATCCGCCGGGGGCAACATCACCCCCGTGCCGCCCCCGACTTCCAAGTCGGCGTTCATAGAACTCCAGCAGCACTCCTACAACCCCGTTCGGTCGTACCACCCCCATCATTTCGGAGGGCAGCAGGGCCAGACGAATCCGGGACACCACGAAGCGCCGGGGTTCGCCAGCCCGAGAGCCGCCCTTTCAGCGTACCCTTTCCCTCCGATGCATCACAACTCGTACACCGGCTACCACCTCGGCACTTACGCTCCACAATGTCCATCTCCTCCCAAAGACGGTGAGATTTTATACTTTTTTACCTTTCACTTCCTATCATTTCCGATCTGACTGAGAAATATATTCTATCTCCTGATATCGGATGGAAAATTTTCCTCCCTCTGTATCTGAAAACGACGCGGATTTACCGATATACTCATCATTTATCCACACCGTTTCTTTTAACTCGATAAAACTTTCTGGATTTAAACGGATCTGAATTCACTTCCTACTACTAAAATTTAAATAATCGGAAAAAAAAGTGATGGATTGTTTTGTACTCATATATTTTATGTCACGCTAGCCTGCATTACATTAATAAGCATATATGGCTAATACGTTTTTTCGCGTCGTAAACAGTGAAATTATATTTTATTATTATTCTCCGGTTTCGCTAAATTACACAATTCTTACAACAAAAATTTATTTAAAAAATAAAAAACAGGATGCTTTGTAAAATATTCATTAATTTATTATTATTTTAGATTTTATGTATTATTTACAACGTAAAAATAAATAAATAAAACCGCGACGATGTCGGTGAGACGGCATCTTATAAAATACAGACCTGGTCGGACACCATATTACGTGGATATTGATATCGATTTTAATAAATTAATAATAGTTAAAAAAATGGTTAAAAATAACAATAATAAATAATTACCAAATCTAAAATAAATTCTAAGTTTTATTACGTAAAATTCAAGCTGCTACAGAAAATACGTAGCCATCAGCGACCAAAGATAAATTTCCGCTTTGCCGCGAAGATATAGAGAAAAGGAATATTAATAAATAATGTAAGCTACCTGAAGAATGTATTTTATTTTTTTTTAATTTTTGAATTTATATTTTGAAAAAATATTTTTAAGGAGGCGTAATTAATATTAGGAAAACGCTGAGATTACGAGGTAAAATCAGGAATTCTACTCGAATTTTTAAAGCTTAATGATTTTGTTTGATAATCATTTGTTTTTAATTTTAATCAAAGTTAATTTAAATATTTTTCAAAACCCAACGATTAATGTCAACCGCGCAGCCTCCGAAATTTTTTCCGACCTTACGACCGCTCACGTGCTGTGCCGCTGTAATTAAATAAAATAAATGTAGAAATAAAATAAAATCAGGGAACAATTTATGACTTAATTTTGATAAAAGTTTTTTTTTCGGAAATAACCGAGCGATGGTGCCCTGCGAATTTGAGATCGCGCCGCGCGGTCGTCGTCGGTTTATATATAAAAAAAAAAAAATCTAAATACAACAAATTACATACATATTTTATTTTATTTTTGTCTATTTGTATTTAATTGACGTGTTAAATGTTTGAAATTAAAGGCAGGAAGCAGTCAGAAACAATTATATTTTATCATTTTTCTCATTAGAAATACTACGAAGATTTTTTTTTAACTGAATGATTATTCAGTTTATCATAAGCGAAATATATAGGGCGATCAAAATTTCTATTGACATTAATCCGACATTGTATATCGACATTTATTATCATATTAATCCCTTAATTACAGCCATACTGATAGCTTCATGTGCCGGAAAAATAAGCTAGAGGATTTACTGACATTTTATAACGTGTTTATTTATTTTATCCTCTTTTCAACAGAAACGTTAAAAATAATAATTTTGAGTTGCTATTATTTATTATGTTAGTGTAAGGTATAAGTTGAATAATGTGCAAAACAGTTTGAAGCGAATATTCTCGGAGAGTCTGACGAGAAATAGTTAAGAAAATTAAATTCATTGGCATATCTCCGTGGGAGCAATCGGCTATAAAGCTAAAAGCAATAATAAAAAACGCAGGAGTTAATTATTTGGGGGGGAATTTATAGTGGCGCAGGTTCGCGGGGGGGAGGACGACGAAGAAATAAAATAACTTTATAACTGGTGAGGGCTTTATCTCAAACGGATCTCGATATATGGGGTCATTAGACTAATGACTTTTGTGGGATACGGGAAAAAGTCTACCGCGGGCTTTGTCAGCCGGATTCACCGGGGACAAGTCAAAGTTGACGACTGCTTTTCGACTGTCAACGTAAGAAGGGTTTTAACAGAAAATAAAATGGAATTTTTCGGCAAAAACAAAAATCATTTAAAATTAAAACACATTCCAATAATTTATATTATGTCTATTTTGTATAAATTTCTACTATTTATACATAATTAGATATATAATTATTATTATTTGTACAAAATTACATAAAACGTTATTTTCCAAATTTTTCTAAGAATTTGTGATATACAAACTATTAGCAATGTTTTTATAAATTTGTATTTTAATGATTATTCAGAGATCGTGAGATGCGGTCTGGTGTGATGTAGGTTTCAGAAAAACGTTTTCTTTATCGTGCCAACGTTTCGATCTTTATTGAGATCATCTTCAGAGCCTGGGATTTACAAACATCGTTTAAGTTTAACAAATACATGTAGGATGTGGAAAAAAGTATTTTAACAACAAAACATGTCAAAGATTTGAAAATTTATGACCTATTAAAAACTTATTAAAGAAAACAAACCTATTAAAAAAAGGTTTACTGTTAAAAAAAATTAAAGTAAAATAGATAAACAGTTAAAATGAATTTTTCTTAAAATTTTGCAGAAGTCCAATGCGCTTTAAAATTATTCTTCCGTTATGGGAAAAAAGGAAATTTTCATGTAATATATTATATATATTTATTACAATAAATTGTCGGTTTGATCACGTTCGTTGAGAACGGTAACGCGAGATAGTGCGGACCAGGATGATGAGGAAAATCAATGTTTGTTTTTACGAGGGTTCGCAACAGCAGAGGTCATATAAACCCTCACGGTGCCGGTGTTTTTTAAAAAAAAGCCCATTTGTAAGTATGTCGGGTTCGAATGCAGGGCCGCTGGATTCGAACCCTGGACCTTTACCTTACAGTGATGAGCGCCGTGTCAAAGACTAAACCTTGCGGCCACCGACGCCCCTCAAAATCAATTTTTGTACATGTCTTAATCGGAGACTACCGATTGCAACTTCCCTATTATTAAATGAGAAAATATACATTATGAAAAATTTATAACAGTAGTAAAATAAATACCAAAGATCGTAAAAATCATAGATTTTATGGAAAAATGCGTTTTTTGTTTTTTTTTATTTTGGATGTGAATGAGGATAAAACAACGCAATATGGCTTTTATTGGTATTGGCCATAAGTCGATAAGTTTATTTAATATTTTAGTTGTTTTTGAGTAAAATATGTAAAAATATTTATCGAGAATAGGTGGACCAAGATGAGCTTTTGTCCAATAATGGGAAAAAGTTAACTTTGTTAAATCGTGCAAATTTTTCTTTGGGAATTCTAGGAGTTTTAAAGTTTTAAAATTATATTCAATAAAGTTTGGAAAATGTATCATTTTATTTTGTACAAATCGTCGTGAATTGTTTCGTATTAAGTACATAATTATGTGAAGTTACATTTTGTAGTTGCGTTTTATTTTTCTACTTTTTTTCCTTTTTAAACGCGCACATTACAAGGCCAGTGTTTAACAATTGTAAAAATTCCTATTGATACCGGTAGCCGGCGGTATTCTCTCACGGTTGTACGGAATCCCATCCGCGTATTCCCCCGGAAAGGATACCCAGAAAATTCCCAAGAATGGAGCTATCGTCTTGTGTTCCTCCTCGACCGATGCCACCCACACGATTTCCTATCCGATACTCCGCCCTATTCACTTTCTGAATAATTAATCCATCTTTTTTTCCTCTTCTTCTTCTTTCTTTTTTACAACTATCCTTCTCTCGCTTTACTCCGCTCTCCCCTTATCCTATCTAATTCCCCATTCATCGCCATATTTCATTGGACGTAAGATGGATGTGACAAGAAATCCGCCGATCAGAGATAACGCCAGATATATAAATTATCCATTGGTCCGCGCCCCCAGACTCCTTTCTACATAAATCACTTATTTTAATCACCTCAAATAATAATAATAATAATAATAATAAAACATAAAGGGGTTTTAAGTTTTTAATCTACATTTGCTAATCCTTTGGCATTTTTTTTCTCTACTATTTGTTTGAATCTTGAAAATTGTATTACATTTTCGGATTACATTGACAAGAACAAACGCAGTTTCTAGTTTTTTACGGCGAAAAACATTAAAATAAAATTATTGAAATGACAATCTAAAACAGTACAACCGTTTACATTATGGACTTAAAAATAGTGAAAACGAGAAATAGTGAAAAAATACGAAGCTTAGCATTTTTAAATGAGAAAAAGCCGAAAAAATACACGTATTCTTTTATTTTTAGAAATAATAAAATATTAAATAATTAAAAGAAAATAAAAACCGTCAACAATATAAAAATAATCGGGATTTTGCTCCCAAAAGTAATATCTTCTGGCAACGATTTAAAAATTCATTTTCTGATAAACGATATGACTTTAGAATTATGAAAAAATTCAAACCCTGTCGGGACAGGTTTAACTAATTAAACTTTAATTAATTTTCACGTTAATCTTTTATATCGATCGGACGATTGCGATACAAAAATCTATCAAATTTTTCAACAGCTTTAAAATTTGATTTTTGAGTGATAACGGAGAAATTTTCACGTTTGTTTATTTGGACACTATTTCCATTTACCTATATGTAAAATGTGGCTTTCCGGCCGGGTCGGAATCGGTATTAGAGAATTTCTAATTATTTTAGCATGTCGCTTTAATTAACTGCTTTTATTTATACTAGCTAACATTGCACCGATAGTTTTATCAAATAGGTTTTATTTAATTGATAAGTCTGAGTTCTGTTTAATAAGTTTAACTGCTAGAACTTAACCGCTAGCGTCCCTTTTCTGTACATTTTTTAAAATTTTAAATAACGTAAATAATTATATGTACGTCTGAGGAGGGCAGCGAATTTTGGAATGAAAATCGTTATAATGTTAGGATAGATATGTAGATTAGTTTAATTTACAAAATAAACAAACGGCTACCTAAGTCATAGGCTCCAATGTTATATTATCCGATTTGCACGACTATAGGCATA